TATACTGTGGATAAGTAAGTTTTGGGGTTTGTTTTTCTAAATTGAAGCTTCACTATTTTAGAGCAGTTTTACATTCACAGTAAGATTGAGAGGAAGGTCTAGAGATTTCCCACATACCTTGTGCCCCCACAACATCCCCAGCCTCTCCCATCATCACCACCCCCCATCAGAGTGGTATATTTCTTACAGTGGGTGAAGCTACACTGACACATCATAATCACCCAAAGTCCCTAGTTCACATTAGGGTTCCCTCTTGGCGTTGGATATTCTGTGGGTTTGGACAAATGTATAATGACATGTATCTATCATTATGGTAGGATAAATGTTCAACTTTCCTAATAAACAGAATTTAAGCATGTCTATGAAATTATAGGAAATGCTGGTCTCTGCTCTTGGTTCCTGGCACAGAGCTTCTAAAACCCTTGTAATTTTCTAAGTGATAAGAGCACTAGGAGCATCTTCTGTTCTTCTATTTGGTCTTTGACCCTAGTTCAGACAAAGAGCTTCTAAATCCCTTGGAATTTCCTAGGTGATAGCAGAGTTGTCTTTTGTTCAGATGAGGTGACTCTTAGTGGGTTCCTGAACAGCTCCTGTTGAGGGGGCTGGTTAACAGAAAAGAAAGACCAAGCCACCATTAGAAGGTTGGAACTTTCAGCCTCACCCTCCATCTTACAGGAAGGGAGAGGCGCTGGGAGTAGAGTTAACAATGGATCACATCTTAGTGATCAAGCTTCCACAGAATCCCAATGTACAGGGTCTGGTGGGCTTCTGGGCTGCTGGGCAGGTGGAGTTGGGAGACTGGCGTGCCCACAGAGGGCATGGAAGTTCTGTGCCCTTTGTCACATAATTGGCCTTGTGTATGTCTTCCATCTCGGTGTGCATCTTTATCCATCATATTCTTTTATAATAAACTCATAAATATAAATAAGTATTTCCCTGAGTTCTGCAAGCCATACTAGCAAATTATTGAACCCAGGGAGGAGGTCATGGGAACCCCAATTTAAAGTATGTTAGACAGAAAAACAGAGGACAACTTGGGACTTGTGAATGGATCTTAAATTTGGGGTAGATAGTGTCAGAATTGAATTAAATTGTAGGATACCCAGCTGGTGCTGAACACACTTGCTTGGTGTAAGGGGGGAAAAAATCCACATATCTGGTGTCAAAAGTGTCGTGAATATGGCAGTAATGTGAGAGTAAAGTGCAGACACAAGAGGGGTGTGTTTTTCCTTTATGGTGTCCTTGGATGAGAAATTAAATGATGACGTGTCAGGCTACATGGGCGAGTGATAAGAGGTAGCATGATAGCGCTGCAGTCTGGCATGAGTTGAGAGAAGCCGAGCCTGAAACATAACAAGGGAAATGGAAAGAGCAGGAAGCAGAGGCAGAGGAAAACTGGTCAGCACATCCTGCGAGTGAGGTGGATGAGGAAAGGGAAGCATTTCAGAGTCCTTTCCACAATTTTGTGCTTGGGTAACTGGTACAGTGTTTTACTCTTAAAAGTAATTTACTGATCCATTCACCCATCAAGCATTCACTGGCACTACTACTTTGGGATTCTCAATCTTTTAAAAAGGGATTCGCAACCTTATAAGAAGGGCATTCATTTCCTGAAGCCTTTTAGTTTACTGAGTCCTGTTATGTGCCTGACACTGAGTTACGATAATACAGTCTCTACCCTAAAGAAATGAGGAAGGAAATAAGCAGTGGTAAAAAAATTACTGCTACTCCTACAGCACAGTTTTCTGTCACTGATTCCTCACTGGTGACTCAAGATTCCTATTTCTCCTAACTCTAAATAGGTTCTAGGCCGCACACATGTTTAAAGATCAGGCTAGATCCAGCGGCCTTGAGAAGCCAATCTAAAGGTGAAATTAACAAGTTTTTCTGCTAAGTAAATCATTCACTTTATTTTACTATTTTATTTATTTTTTTATAATTCTAATATTAAGAATTGAGTTCAGCTTAAAAATACATTACCAAGAACTAGTTCAAAGTTTTTTACTCCAATGAAGGAAGAGATAACCTCAGTAGATTACATAATGGAAACCTAAACTACCCTGGGAAGAAAACACTGCAAGACAATAGGATGGCTGTTTGAATAGCAGGGGCAGGGCAGCTGTGTCCGGGAATTTCCATTCACCTTTCTCCAAGGATTCCAAAAAAAACTGTCCTATCTTATCTGTGTTTCATCTCTGCATTTCTCAAATCTCCGCCCCCTCCCCCCACAGCCCAAGAAACCAAGCCTGGCACAAATCAACTTACACTAAGTCAGGCAGGAATCCTTCCCCCTTTCTGCCTGAAACTCATTAATAAATCAAAGTTATTTATGCCTCAAGCAGTCTCACTCCTATCTGCTTCTATATATTCTGTGCACTTGGAATTATTCCACATTCTAAAATGAAAATAAAAGGTACTTATCTTGTAAGGTTACTTAGAAGATTAAGTCATTGAACTTTTTTGTCCAAAGATAAGGACCTAGTTAACTAACTTGTTTGAACAGATGCAAATTTAAAACCCAACTGCTAAAAATCTAAGTGAACAGAGAGGGGCACTTTGATAGTAATAGTAGAAAATCTTGCAAAATAGGAAATAAGAACATCACAAAAATTAGTATTGGAAAGTCAGAATTCTGCATAAAAATATAAAACAAACGCTAATATCAACGCCAATATATCTTTATAATTGTATGTTCATAGCCGCTACAACTCAGTTTGCGTAGCTTCAGGAAGGACATTTCCATTATCTCTGGAAGTATCTTCCATTTAGGAGATGTCTTCTCTGAATTCTCTATCTCAGCTTTGTCCTGTAGGCTAAAGATGATTTAAACCTGGCTTAAAACCAACCAAAATTACTTCCTGAATGACCTCCGAGGTATTCAAAACTGTCCCAGATAAACTGGGGTGTACTAAATTATTGGTGAAAGACTCACTCCTTGACTTCCAGGAGTTTATAATCAAATTAAGGAAAAAATGTTCAAATTAGAAAGATACTACTAAATTTACAAGGCATGGAATTAATATTTGCTGATCACATGGCACTAATACTAAGGGTCAAGGAGGACTGGAGTGATCAGAAAGAGATGGCGTCAAAGGGAAAGGAGGACTTCAGGTCAGATTTGGAGCAAGGGAATATTTTCAATCAATGGAAGAAAAGGCATAGGACGAAGAACATGTAGTCTATGTTACTGCTTTACTAAGTCTATGTTTACTCTTTAACTTCAGTCCTGACTTTGTGACCTTGAACAAGCCATTTATCACCTTGCCCTTCACTGAATTCATATTTACCAAGGGCCTACTAGATACAAGGTATTGTGTGTCACTTAAATGGAGAAGATTTTCTAATTTAAAGAAGGGGAAAACCGCTTTAAGTTAAACAAGAGGCAACTCAAAAATAAAAATAACCCCAAATTCACATTACATAGATATTATAAAACAAAATCTGTTCTTAGAATTTTTTTAATCCCCTTTTACTACTTCGCCATTTCTCAATTAAAATCAAACTTAGCATGAACTCTAAGCATAAGTGTATCCTTTTTACTTAGATCATAGTAAAGGGAAAAAATAATTTTACATTAAAATTTCAGAATCTTGCTCCGTTCTCACATTTTAAACCATAGCTGCCTTTTGCCACTAAAAACAGCACTTCATTCAACAGCAGTAGAGCTTAAGCGATTCAAAAGCTCATTTATGACACAGCACAGAATTTATCTAGCAAAGACACAACACATGCATCAGTACTTCCCTTTGTCCTGTGTGTTCTAAATCTCTGCCAAAAGCAGAGGAAAGAAAGTTCAGATGGATAGGATATCCTCAAATTATTTGATTTGCCTTCTGTCATCCCAGAGAACAAACAATCTTGTACCTGATTCACAGTTAGAAACTCAAATTTAGTGGAAACCTAGGGTAGCTGGGGCCTGGGGCTGAAAGGCAGGCCCTCCCCATCAGCTGTTTGTCTTTCACCAGGCAAGCTGGGAAGGCCTGGAGCCTTTGCCTAAAGGGAAATTGGTAAATGAGAACCAAGTACCTCAAAATCTATTTATATAAAATAATAATTGATTGAATTTAGAATTGTGGGTGGCACTTCAGTGTTCTTGTCCATTTTGACACAATTCTTGATGCACATCATGTATGTATATTAAGTCATTGCACATCCAGTGTGTTTCAGCAAATACTTCAGAGGTCCTGATAGTGCGTGTTGGATGCTATGCTTCCTATGAGAGTATACTAGTCTTCCTTTTTGTGATGTCAAACCACTTACTCTCTTTAGGCCTGTTATTTCATCTATGTAAGTAATGCTGTGACATATGCATGGCTATGGTGAAGATTTGAAGAACCAAGGAATATAGAGCCCTGAGCAGTGTGTGCCTTTACTCTAACTAGCTTTTTTTTCTAACCATTAACCTTGGTTAAATCACACAGACACAGCTCTGTAATCTTGAAGCTCACAGTCCAGCCAAAGATACAGACAATGACTCTGAAAACAACACGATGAAAATGGTAAGGATACTTCCTGCTGGTACCAGCAGCTAATACTGACTTAGAACTTACTGTGACTGAGCACTATTGTACACACAGAGCTCATGAATCAATCCTTATGACGACCCTCTGAGGTAAGTGATGGGGGCAATGAGAGCTGCTATACTAATACATGTGGGTGACACTCCAAGCCTCATTCTTGAGTGGCTGGGTAAGGACATTCTTGGGATTAATAATATTAATCAAGTAACAGACAGGTATGTGGGGTTGGGATGGTAAAAGATGTGCTGAGCAAAAGGACTTACACATGGGTGCCCAGAGCAGAGAATGCACAAAGGGATGACGAAAAACTGAAAAGAGGTTGAATTCAGGCAATTTATCTGTGAGGTTGTAAGCAATATGTAAATCCATATATTAGGTAAAGGGGTTACTGGAGTGTTAGGAAAAGACAGGTGTGCTTAGGAGACGCAGGGCTTCATAAGGGCAACGTGAGTTGGTTGGTAAACTGCCGGAGGTGCCCACCTGTCAGCAGCAGCCTGTACTGGGGGATCCTCTGAACTGGCTTGAGCAGGTAGTGCTTGAGGGCCAGGTTAGCACAGCGGGGGCTCATCTGAAAGGAAAAGGTATCCACAGTAAACATGAGCATTTTTCTAAGAAGCCGGGACTGAGAGTCAAGTACCCAAGAAGCCAAACTTTAAAAAACTACCAACTCTGGAAGGGGATTCAGGGAGAAGTTCCCATTATTTGAAGGCATAGCTGTTATGCTAAGTGAAACTGTGGCCGATTCCTACCTACCTCACCCTGTTCTGCAGGCAGATCTCAGAAATCACTGACTCCTCGGGAAAACTTGTTCACAGCCCTCTCCTGATGGTGGTGGCTGCAGGCTACATTCAAGGCCCATCAGAGTCCTCCCTAACCAGCAGCTGCCACTTCAAAGAGCATCTGCCAATATATTCACAGATAGGAACAAACCCCATGACCAAGAAGGAAATCCATGGCCCTCAAAATGAGGCAGCAGAAATAAAACTACTGGGAATTGGATTCAAATAATAACCAGAGCCTAAGGCGATATACCAGTGGTAACAACAGATGGTACTAGGGAGAACTGTAGAAATTAAAGTAACCTGAAAAGCAGCCTTGCTAAGCATCCTTCTCTGATAAGCCCGAACGATGTAAATTTTTTCTCAGATGAAAGGCTGTAAAAGACAGCCCCAAAATCAGTGTATCTTGGAACATTTGATTCCAGAACCGTTTTGATTTGACCAAGGGGACATTTGATTCTGCCTTTAAAGCTTTATTCATGAGTATGTACAACAGACTCTCCTGCCATTTCTGCGCCTCACCCTCATTCTCCAACACAGAAATGGACTATGAGGTGGCATCAAAATGGCCAAATGAAAATGTGTCAATCCTAAAACGTCCTGAGCTTCTTAAACAGCTCAGGTGGGCGGGGAGGAGGTCTTCCAGATTGGCTCGGACTGCTTTACCTTTTTCTATACATGCACCTCCAGGGTCTGGTACACAGAATAATTATAAAATTATAATGATAATGTATTTAAGAAAGCATCTATCATCCAAGCATCATAACCAAGAAAGCTCATTTTCCTGTCTTACGTTTTCTTTTGCTGCCAAGGCAACACAACAACTCAGTGGACACTGATGAAAACCTGGGTCATTTATCAGTTGCCACAGCTATATATATCACACTTTCTTCTTAGCAGCATGAAGACATCAGAGGAGAGGAAAGGAAAAAAAAGAGACTACAAATGATTTTGAAGTTTAATTATTTGTCTACTGCACAAATTAAAAACCAGCAATATCTTAATACTTTTAAAACTTTTCTAGTTTTGTGTGACTGGAATTCACTAATATTTTCAGTTTCAAAACAGAAATAAGTATTAAAATATATAGGAACCCACATCTTCTCCAAAACTGGGGGAGACAAATAGAAGTTTACTTAAGAACTAATTTTTTTTAAATGCATCGTATCAGTTATCTCCAGTCAAATCTGGCTTGTACCCTCATAGCTTTGAGTAAACATACAAAGCTTTGGCTATTAGCATGTTAGTAATTTTTCTTGACTTTGTCACTAAAACTATTAATTTATCTAAATGGAAACAACTTTTACTTTCCATCCACCATTGTAGTTTAGTTAAAAAGTAAAAGGAAAGACAGACTGGCATATAAGAAATGTCCCTACAGAAGTCAAACTCACAGAGGCAGAAAGTAGAATGGTGGTTGCCAGGGGCTGGGGGAGGGGAGAACGGGGAGTCACTATTTAATGGGGACAGTTTCAGTTTTGCCAAGACCAAAGCGGTTTGGACACTGGTTACACAATAATATGAAGGTACTTAACACTAGTCAACTGTACACTTAAAAATGATTAAGGTGGTTAACTTTTATTTTATGTGTATTTTCTCACAATCAAAAAACAAAACAAAAAGAGACCTATTAAAATACTCCAAAGTACAATAGATTTTAAAAATTAAAATTTCTAATTTCTCACCTTTCAGTCTGTGCAATCTTCCCTTTGATTTTGAATGATTATATTTTAACATATTTGTTTTCAATCGCTGCACTTTTTTAAAGCTTTAAAAATGAACAAAAATATAAAAGACAGGTTCAACAGGAGAAGGCAGCAAAAATACCTCAAATTCTCTCACAACAGCAGCAAAACTTGGGTTTTTCTTGGACTGCTCATCCAACAAAGCTATATTCTTATCAAATTCTTTAATGTACGTGGAATACATTTTTAGATACGGTCCCTTCTTTACAAAGATATCAGCAATTCTTTGTTGTTCAGTCCTAAGACAGAGAAGAGATACACAACATACAAAAGGAAAGTCACTAACATATCAAAATATATCCAGTGAAGAGCAGAGTTCCATGTCCAAGCCATTAGCTTGTCTTTTTTTCTGTTCTTCAAAGACGTTATCTCAAAATACCGAAGCTTCTCCATTTCCACTGCCACATCTTGCCTGGACTCTGCCAGCTCTGTGACTATTCTCCCTGTTTCCACCATCTTACCCTTATGTGCAGCTCGAGTCTAAAAATGCGTATCATATCATGTGACTTCCAACTTAGCAGAAAAAGTCCTCACCTCCTTCCACTCTGGAAGCCCTGTAGTTCCCATGACTACCTACCTTTCTGACCCATTTCACACTTGTCTCCCTTTCTCATTATTCTCCAACCACACTGGCTGCCTTTATATTCTTTTGACATACAGAATTCATTCCTACTTTTCAAATTTACTAACGGCTTCACAAGTCTGGAAATATGGAACACTGGCTGGCTCTTGTTTTTTGTTCAGATGTCAGTTTAAGAAGGGCCTTCCTTGGCCACCCATCTTCACTCACTAGAACATCATCTTTTTCACATCTCTGTAGATCAGAAACTGCTTGTATCTAATATTTCTTGTCTATTTTTTTTCTGGTTCTTCCCCCACTAAAATGTCTGCTCCGTGAGAGCAAGAACCTTGTCTGTTTTGTGCCCTGTGATATTCACAGAATGCTTAAGATGCTGACTAACACACAGCAGCTTTTCAAAACCTTGTTGAATAAGAAATCAAGTATTTCAGAAGGCATATTAAAACCAAAGAATATGCCTTAATTCAAGATGCCTGAGAGAAAAATATTTTAATAAGTAGGAAATACATTATTAAGGGACTGAAATAACTTTGTCAGTAAAAAGTACAGCGTTTTCCAAACTGTTGTTATAGTTGTCCCTTTTATCAATTTAGTCTGTTTCTTAGGAATGCTTAATACTTTAACATAGGAATGCTTAATACTTTAACATAGACATGTATAGACCCAAACTTGAGAAAACTTTTAGTACAAGCAAAAAATACACTTAGGTCTCTTTATAACATTTACTTGCATAAATATGCACTTCTTTTTTATAAGAATGATGAAGTATGTACAAGAAAACTATTTGTAATCACATTTTATTTCTGTCATGGCTTTAAAAATACCCTTTCGTCATTCCTCAATCCTTAGCTCTGTGTTATTGTGTATTTAGGCTGCAGCTAGGTATAACCACTTGTAAAATCTAGCATATTTTCCCAACATGCAGAGGCATAGTATACCAAAATAGGCAGAGATTTTTGTTTTCTAGCTTATCTAAAAAAAAAGCTTAGAGAGAAATTTTGATCATGAAAGTAGGTGATACTATTTTGTTATTTGAATGATTTTGGGTTCCCCATGGACTTCAACAATAAACTCAATTCCTCTAGAACAAAGTTTCTACATATCTCCAAAGATGTCACCAAACTTTCTGCTTATTTTCTATGGCCAATGGATGTACTTAACCTTTTGGTATTATTTTCCTGTTTTGAAAAGATCTACAGTATCCACAATGATGTCATACATATGTAAATGTTCTAAACCAAACAAATCGATTATCTCAGGGAATGACTCTTTTCCAAAGCAAAAAGTTTCATGACTTGAAAGGATAGTATCTGAATGGATAATAAACATTTTTAAATGTTTCCAGTGTAAATGTATCAACTCCTTCAATCTCAAAAATCTTGATTATCAAAGATAATCTATAGAAAGTTAAATTAGCCAAAGATGGGTCCTTCTTGATTTTGAAGCAACATTATTAACAAAGAATTTAAAAAATTTATAATATCAAGCCCAGTGTGCCAGAGTTGTGAATTTTGGCCCTCTAAAGTGATTGATCTCCACGTAACCATCAAGAAAATTCAGTATCTGGAAACAACCCAGTGTAAGGAACACCTCTGTGCCACATGCAAGGCCCTTATGGTTTCATCTGAATATTGAAAACTAGGAAAGCTGGTCAGTCCATTTTACCAGTTCAGCATCCTGTCCTCCAGTTCCTTCAGGAGATCCCGGTTGAGCTCATATAGCTGAGGCAAGTAGTACAGGATCTGATTTAGGACCCGGTCTTCAATCACTGCTTTTCCAAGTTGTCTGGAAGCATGGGCTACAGCATCCCGGAAATCCTAGTACAAGGAAGAGGAGGGAAAACAATGTATGTACACACCTATATATATGACTGTACCAAAAATATACTTGATTAAAAGCCTTTATCCCCCCTCTTCCCTAAAACAATATAAATCCCAAACTGGATTTTCCATGTAGAATTTCAAATAGAAAGTACCCACCTTCCTCCTATCTCTTACCTAGACAAAAATTATTAAAAAAAAACAAAAAACACAACAGCCCAAAGTGACTGGGGTAAATATTTGGTTTTAAAACAGACTGTGAGACATTCCTCTTCAATGGGTTTGCTCTCCAAAGTTAGTAATTGTACTAAGGGGGTATCTGGAGATTGACCTACAACTGTAAGTAGTCTTCAAAATTATTCCAGTAGTGTTATATGAACACAATCCACTTATTTTAAAAGTCCCAAAGAAATGTTAACTGATTTTATTCTGGAAAGTCCCTTTTCCCATTTTCAGTAATTATTTCGTAACAACTGGAGCATTCTAGGTGAGGTATGTGGAGGCGGGTGGCACATTCTTGATAACCCAAGGATACTGGATCCAAACCCTGGCTTCTGATTTACCGTTTCCTTGGGCTAGCCTCATTTTGCTCATCTGTTACATGGGTAACGAGATGTTAGTTAGATACTGCGCATGAACCTTTCTGCAATGTGTTGGGCACACAGAACCAACAAAATATTTTTGTTGGACCTTAAAACTTCTCCTCTTTCTCTTTCTGACCACCCCATAAATTCACCAGGATTTACCCTTGTCACAAATAAAAAATTTTCTCCTCACATACTCTTCTTTGGTAAACTTTTCCCTAGAAAACTCTGCCATGTTTGAGGGCAAGTCCACACCGGCACACCCTCTCACACCGAAGGACTTGGAAGGGGTGGGGTCAGAGACTGGCGCTGGTCTGGTTTCCCTGTATCTTAAGGCCCATTCCTAATGAATAAGTAAATCAATAGTGGAATCTACTACACAGTCCTAAGAATTCAAAAAGAAAGATTGTTTCTTCTCAGAAAGAGTAGGTTTAATTAAAATCTTAAAGTAAAGAATAGGTAAATAGACTCTTCACTGGGCTTCACCTTTCTTTCTTTCCACTGCTTCCTCTTCAGGGATTCCCTAGGCCAATCAAATACACACACACACAGACAATGGTATCTCCAGATCCCTTCAACACCTGCTTCCAACATACACACATTAACCATAAGCATTTCTTATGTTTATTCTGAAGGACAATAACCTCATATACAACCTCAAAGTACACAAAAGAATTCCTTTTCTAAAGCATGGCTACATTAGACAGGTCAAATCCTCTCATGCCAAACACGGTCTAATAAACCCTTCACTAAAACTTTATTGGTTCAACAGTTACACTGGCCCAAAAGAAGCAACTACTTAGACCAGTAACTAAAGAACTATTTTTACAATTGATTACTATAATATAAAGTAAGAATTCATAACTTGCATGAACTCCAATCCAGAAAACCACACTAAGCATCTCCAGAAACCAAATGGATACAGGCCAAGTTCGACCTCCCAACAGCTTGTTCCTGTCAGCACTCACATTTACTAAGAGAAGAAAACAGAGCAACTTAACACTTTTGATGGTCATTAGATTTTCTATCAGGCAGAGCTACAGAATAAATTTACGTATCACAGATTATTTCTTCAACTGTAAATGTATTCAAAGCACAACAGTTCAACATCTATAGTTTTTTGTTTTAATCAGCTTAATGATCAATAAATATACTTTAGATGCAAGAGTTCTTCATTCCGCAGAGCATAAGCACTGCCTTTTGTTCTGCTGTAATAAATGATGAATATATTTGCCCCTTGGCAGCAGGATAACTTTTATCCTCCAGTTTGGAAGGTATTGCCTCAGTCAGAACAGTGACAGTAGACATTAGCTGCTAAGTAGCTTAAAGGCTCTGTTTGACACAGCTTTTGCCAGACTCTGCATTCCATATGTGTACCACCAGTGCCAAAAAGGAAACTTGTTTATTTGAGACACGTTCAACAGAGACTAGCCAAATCCACACTGTGCTGGCCACTGAGATGCCACTTCTAACTAGAGGCCACTGACGCACACTAGACAAAAGTTCACTTTTTCCAGGACTATTGGATGATGGTTGTAGGTAGCTCTGGATGAACCAATGGCCCATAATGTCTTTTGAAAAATTATGTGCAGCACACCGAAATATAATTTAGAGAGTTTATATTCAGTTATCTATCACAAATTATTCCTAAGATCAGAAAGTTACATATTCTAAGCACTACTAGGAAATCAACTGGCTTTCATGGTACCTTCTGATAACAGAAAAGGCTACGGCTTACTCCAGGCCCACACAACTCACATCAAGGGCTCTACTTGCAACTCATGGCCTTCAGATTCACACAGGGCAACCCTAGTAACAATCTCATTGCCTCACCTCTTGGGCCACCGTCCTGTGAAAGCCATATGCTATGGCACCAGTGCCACATGTAACAATTCACACAGGAACCACACACACAAATTTTAACTTCTCAGCTCTTTATGAACGCCAACCATTTCCACAACTGGTGCCACAGGAAGGAGGTATCATTTTTTTTTTTAATAAAAAGGCTGATTACAGCATATGTCTGGTTATTTTCCTAAATGCTAACAGCCAGGATAATTTGAGAAAGTGTGATGACATTTAAGAGCTAGAGGCAAAACTATTTTGGGGCAGAAGATCTAAACTCACCAACACCTCCTTGACTACATCAGTGAGGATACAAGACCACAGGACTGGCATGTCAAAAATTAGATCCTGAGTATATTTTTCACACTCGAAAAGCTGGGTGATTAAAATAACAGGGGCGAGGGGAGCTAGAGGGTGAAAATGTTAGGTAAGGGACACTTTACTGACATCATACTTCAGTCTATTCTTCTGACATAAAACCCACCACAGATTCTGTATGATAAACAGAACCAGCTACAGTCTAGTTTCTGATCATAATAACCAAATGTTGTTCAACTTGGTACTTTCAGAAATAGAAATGGGCTTCTGAATTACAAGGCATATCATATTAGTCTATTTCTTTTTTCTAAACAGACAGACTTTATTGTGGGAGGGGTGGGGGTTCCAACCTGGGATCCCACTCTCTTAAATAAAAAAGTGCATAGAAAGAAGGGATTTAGAAACTTTTGTACAATAGCTCATCCTGGACCACAAGGGCAGGAAAGGGGGCAACTGCTGGGTGGGCCGCAGGGATGGAGGCAGGGCCCTTGCCACCTGCATACCTACCATCCACCCTGAATATGAGGGTATGGTGAGATGCTCTGGGAGGGGCTAGGGAGCACCCCACACTCCCAGGCTAGGGGCAAGATGGTAGAAAAATAATAACCAGATCAATTTTAAAAGAACACGCAGGTCCTTTGGGGTATTAACATACTAGTCCTATCAGCTCTCATTGTTTGGGCAAGACCTAAGCAAAAATCAATGCAAATAAAATTGAGTATGAACAACTAAAGCAATGAAGCACAGAACAGATGGTCTTATTCATTAGGTCAGGCTTTACATCTCCAGTGCCAAAGAGGAGTGACCTAATCACCAGCTGTCCTGACTGGGTTTCCTATCCTTAGGGCATTACTAACTGCTATGATGACACAGTGAATCAGACAGACCAAGTGGACCTATGATAGACAGGGAGTTCTGAAGGGCTCCCTGCCTCCCTTCATAAAGAGCATTATGAATCACTTCATATTAAGCAAAAGCAAAGCAGCTGCTAAGGTCAAAGAGCTCTGATAAATATGCAGAAAGGAGTGTGAAACTATGAAGTAAAGGGGTGGGGATGAATTCCCCACACCAACAATATGATTTTGTTTTAAAATGCAACTATATGACTGGGGAGGATGGGTGGGAAGGGAGGGATAAGGGCGGGAAAAAAAGAAAGGGGGCATTACGATTAGCATGTATAGTGTGGTGGGGCACGGGGAGGGCTGTGCAACACAGAGAAGACAAGTAGTGATTTTACAGCATCTTACTATGTTGATGGACAGTGACTGTGAATGGGGATGTGGGGGAGACTTGGTGAAGGGGGGAGCCTAGTAAACATAGTGTCCTTCATGTAATTGTAGATTAATGATACCAAAATAAAATAAAATAAAAATAAATAAAATGCAACTATATGAAATTGTTCCTTCCTCTCTATATGCTCAGATCTGATGACATCACACATAATCATCAATGTAAAACTATATAAAATATGACTGAAACCAATCCTTTACCTTAAGTCTTCTCTCCCCTTAATAACAGGGACAAGTAATCATCATAATATATCCTAAGTGACCAATATCTTAAGCTTCATTCTCATCTTTATAAGATTAAAAAGTAGAATTTCTCCAGTTTCATAAGCCAACGGAAAGAATTCTGAAGACAAGTTATATACCCAAAGATATCCTATACCCAATACAGCATAGTAGGGATTTCAAGTAACAATTTTTAATCAGTTTCTAAACAATCACTAAGTGGACGGGCTCAGACAAACCAGAGCTCAGTCTGGTTTTGCCATTTATTAATGGGTTACTTTGGGCAGTTAGCTTACTTTCTTCATTTAACAAAGAGAAATAACAGCTATTTGACATGGTTGTTATGATGATTAAAATGGATAACTTATGTCACTTGGTATGTTTTAAGGCACACACAGAGAGCTCGATAGAAGGCCATTAATTTAATTAAAGGAGATTTGGTTAATTTAAATGATCACTTCAACTTTTAGATCCACAAGCCCCTGGACACTTGGAAAGAGAGCTTCTGAATCAGAGGCATTTAAAGAGTAGGAAATGCCAAACCAAAGTGGGGAAAACAATCACCTCGGCAGCAAGACAAAGGAGCTCTTATCAGTGAACTTCACTCAGTGAAGGATAGTCCTCATAAAGGAAGCTGCTCGAAAAGTGAAAGTTTGGTAGCCGTGTCTATAGACACTAAAAGAGAATTCTTTGAAATTAAAGAATAAATGATAAATGGTTCATAAGACTCTAAACACCAGGTGTTGCTCAGCAGCACAGGATGAAGTGGTTTTAAGATGGGAAAAACTCGAGGTTGTATGAGGAAGCCTTCTGTTCTGTGTATATTTCATTAAAAAAAAAAACACATATTCTATTTACTAACAGATACCTGATGTCCAAGTACCATTGCCTCTAACTCTATGGGTTTTATTGAGTCTCAAATTTTTGAGGTAATATATGTCCCAACCTAAATTAGTGAAGCAAAGATACTTCATTATTATTACCACTTTACTACTTAACCAGCCCATCTTTGTCCAAAAGACCTCAAAGTCTCTGATCATTCTCTTTCAAAATACTTTTTTTTAAATCATGGTATTTGGACATTTATAAAGCAAATTTATGGAGATGTTTATTAAAATGGTCTCCCATCAAAGAGAAAATAAAAGAAAAACAAACAAAAAAAGACTATCATTTGTACTTGTATTAACATACTTAAGGTGTTTTACCTTTAAAATGTACATTTATATACAATATATAATACAATAGCAATCTCTGGATCGGACAACTTTTGCTATAATAGAGGAAACAACTGTAAATAGCTAGAGTTTTAACAAGTTTTATTCATCAGTTTTCTGTCATTCACTCAACAGATACTAATTTACACCAAGGAAAACAGATAAAAATCCCTCCTTCATGGAGCTTACTTTCTAATGGAGGAAGAAACCTAGTAGGTATACTTCATGAACAAACTCCATTTTAACTGGTTTGATTAAAAGCTTACTTGATAACATCATAGCTAAATAATATGGATTTTAATTTATATAAATAAGTTCTGAATAATAGTACTTTATCTTGAAGGCTTTCCACTTAGCCTCCAGGTAAGACTAATTAAATACTTAATTTTGCATTATCTCATTTAACCATTAGACCAACTTTATGTGATGCTGATGATTACTATTCCCATATTCCAAAAGAAAAAACCAACACCTGACTAATTTGTCCAAGAGCACACAGTTTGTGGCAGAGGCAGAATTCTTAACCATGAACCAGTCAGTCACATTCATTCATTCAATACTTACTGAAGGCCCTCCAGTGAACAAGCATGATGGCAGAAGCTGGAGATATAGGATCCCTGCCCTTACCTACCTTACATTTTAGTGGAGTAGAACAAAAATAAACAAGCAAACAAACATACAAAATATGTTAAGTGCCAGGAAGAAAACACACAGGGGAAGTTAAAGAGAAAAGGACGGCCAAGGAAGGCCTCTCTGAGGAGGTCCCATTAAGCCCAGATTGGAAGGATAAAGGAAGAACTAACTGAACAAAATGAAGGAAAAGTGAACATTGCAGGAAACTGCATTAGCAAAAGTTCTGAGCAGGAATAACTATTTTAGGACTGAACTAAGAAATGAAGGACACCAGTATGGCCAGCACAGGGTTAATGAGTGAGAGAATACTTCTCTCTCTTGCCCAGTGTCTCATCTCATTACCAGAGGCCAAATCACATAGCATCTTATAGGGAACCATAATTTACTGTCTAAACTGGCTCATTTTTGACAGTGAAAAGGAACTCTGTTAATAATATGATGTCAAGAACAGGACTGCCAAATGTAGATGAGACATACATTCTACTTATGGCATTGATAAGCACTGGAACTTCATTCTTAATGCAATGGGAATCATTTAAAGGATTTTAAGCAGGAGAATGGCCCGGTCTAGCTACTATGTATTTTAAGAAAACCAAAATTTTATAAGGAGAAAAATATATAAGGAATGGATTGGAAGGGAGACAAGAATGAAAACAGGAAGTCTGAGTAAGAGATGATACTCTGGAATAGGTTAGCAGCAGTAAAGAGGAAAGAGAATCAGTAGGTTTTCTTAGGGGTTGGCTGGAGAAGTGTGAGGAGAAATGATGAACAAATTCTAGCTTTCTGGCTTCGGCAACTATGTAGGTGGCACTATTATTTTGAAAAGGGAAGACCAACTTATAAGAATCTCCTTTCTCTTTGGGCTCAGTGGGATATTGAACTGGAGACATGTGCACATGGGACATTTAAAAAAATCTACTTCAAGGTCAAGGAGCTCACAATAGATACTATAGCTCATGATAGATACATAAAAAAACATTAACTGTAAAGTATCACCACTGGCTCTGCAGCCCCAATTTATTCTCACAGACATTAGGCAGATGAATCAAAGCCCTCAACTAAATACCAATTAGAATCCTATGTATATTTTAAACTGCATGCCCTCTATCCTCCCAATGTAATTAATAGCTTAAACAATAAAGTCAGTTTGAATTTAAAATATTTTTCTATGCACTATTTCGCCTACTTCAGTGAATTCTAAACAAAGGAGCATCAGTGACATACAGTGATATATTTAAAAATTTTAAATATCAATGCTGGACAGTGTAGATATTGAACATTTCTGTAATCACAGAAATCTGTTGATGCTATTCTGGAGTCTCTAATATAGAAAACTAGTGTGAAATCATGTAAAACTGAAACAATAGCTTCTCCCAAGCCACTTGGACACCTGGTTGATTTCCAAAAAATTCCCCACTGGATAACCTAAACATTATTATTTAGATATTTTTAAACAGTTACATTCTACCATAAAATACAGAAGTTAATTCATTTAGATGAAATCAGATAACAACAGTGCTAAGGATTAAAAGTATCCATGTACTACCTTTGGGGGGTACTTTTAGTTGAAGAGTAAATATGAACTTTGATAGCATGGTGGGGGTATGATGAAACAAGAGACTCTTGGCTTCATCCACATTATCCCAGTAATAAGCCCCTCCTAGTAGTAGCTCACACCTTGGTTAATGCCCTGTTCTTCAGATAAACCATTTAGTTAGGCATTGCTGAGTTACTATTTGCATAACTAGACAGGATGTTAACATGAGGTTGGCCAATGATTTACTCTCACTCTTACATTAAAGGCTTAGGAGGTTTTGAAAATGTACAACGCAAGGTGGGTTATGGATGATTCATTCAGTTCAACACCTGGGAAGAGTCCAAGGCCATCTATCAGATCTGAGTTGATACAGGAAATACCTTGCTCCATTCTTACAGTGTTAATGATTTGTTCCAAAAATCTAAAGGTAAGAACAAGGCATAAAGTTTTAAATAATCAAGTAAGTACACTGGTAAAGCTTTTAATTGCTTTCCTACCGACTTGAGTCCTTCATTAAAATGAAATTTTAGTGCATGGGGAAAAAAAGGCACTTGGAAGGGACAGAATTGGAAAAAGTCTACTGTCTAGTAATAGAATGAATTCTTCCCATTAATTGATGTTGTACAAGGCAAGATGAGGAAGAGGGTAATGGAAAGGCAAATTGAGAACCTACTGTATAATGTGCACAATACTAGGCTCTTTTACATACTTTATTCCACTGATTCCTCACAACCTTAAAGAGGAATGGATATTTTATTCTCTTTTACAAAAGAGGAAAGCTAGACCCAAAAGGTTAAACTGTTTTCTAGAATTCACATAGCTGGTAAGAAAAGAATCTACTAAGCCAAAATAGAGACAGATGCTTAATATTTCCTTGGAGAGGTCCTATTTCTATTTAACTATGTTTATCAGAAAATATGTAAAATAGGTACAATTTGCTTATCCTACAGATAATGTTCTGAGTTTTCCAAAACACAGGTTTAACTTTTTCTTTTCTCCCTGAAACTGTTTATATAATAGAGAGGTTCAGTTCATAGCAGCAAATGTACATGGAGTTTGTTCTGAGGTCATTTACTTATGCTCACTGTTACGTATGTGCGATGACAATATGGTTGACACTCAACAAATTTGTTTGGGTTACCAAATTTTGTGCTATAATTTTTTTTAATGGATTACAAAGAACTTACCAAAATGTTAAAAGTTATGTGAGAAACAGCTGAAAGGAGAAGTAATTCCTCAAAACAAATTAGTAGTAAGAAGGGTTTTTGAAATGTTTCCAAAGCTGGAGATTTTCCACTCACAAATTAGGCCTCTAGGTTTCTGTTGTACCAAGTATAGAGCACAAAGGAATCATCTGGTGAATGTAAATCACCCTTAAGTGTAATCTACTTTCCATGCTAATATGTATTTTTTAAAAGGAAAACTGAAAATCATGATACTCTTAGAAACGTAAATAGATGTGTATTTTGTGAACCTACCATTTCTCAGCAATTAAGTTTTAAGACGATGTTAATAAAATTGCACTACTTAAGTAAATTCACACTTCAGTTTCTTTTTCATTGTTTTCTCCACCTCACCTCTTTCTTTTGTTAAGTCTTAATACCTTGCCAAAATACAACTGGGATAAAGTAGCGTTAAAAGCCCTTTAACTGCCAATGAGTAATGAAACTTGTAAAAACTTGCAGGTACAAATGAGTACATGAGAAAAAAGAATACGCACTCAGACACATAATTGTTTCCCAACAGGTTCATTCAAGTTGACAATTATAAAAATTGGAAACAGAACTTTAAAAAGTCAGTCACAAAAATATATATTTTAAGTATCTTGTTTCTGGGAACTTATTCAGATAGAAAGAACAATTTTAAACACTAATAATGGCATTTTTTTAAACATTGCTAGTGCAAAATTCTACTGACAGCAGACATTTGCAAATGCCCAAGAAGAAATATTGTCACTTTAAAAGCTCTTTATTATGGAAATAGAAAGTTTGAAGACATTGGAGATACAGATGTAAAGGCTGCATTTTTCAGAAATCATCTCGGTATACCACACATACAAGAGACACATTTTAGATAACTTCTATATTCACATATATGTCAAAGATACAGCCATGTATTAGAAAGCACATACATGTATATACATGTTAATTTAATTCTGAAAAATTTTTGACATACGGAAAGATGTAAAAGAGGCTAATATTAGACTTCAAAAAATATTAGCAGATACTTACAATATGCAAAAGTTTTAACACATCCACAAACCTGTAAAAAACAGCAATAAAAAGAAATGTTTAAAATGAGCCAATGGGGAAATAATCTTCTGAATTATAAACTAGATACCTACACTTTTTCTGAGCTCATGATTTCCTTGGCAATATGATGGACTTTACTTCTCATTCCAGCATCTTCATCCTGTGAATAAAGGTGCATTAAGAAAGTATGAACTCATAAGAGGATAATGAAGATCAGCTTTGAGTTAGTCAGATATAAATTCAAGCTCTGATACTTACAGGTTTCTGATTAGAACATATTTCACATTAAATATAACATCTCAAATGGCAAACGTAGAGACCAGATGCAGTTATTAAACCAGGACACAAGTAATTTAAGATGAGTGAATATTAAATAGGATTGCATAAGAGAACTTCACTCTAAGTAAAGCCAATCTAAATCACACAACTTAGAGCAGTCTGAAAAGGGCTTTTCTTTACAGTCCATACCAGATACAGGCTCACATCATTACAGCCACAGGCTTTCTCAGATTCCTTAAAATCTTGACATACAGAAGTCAAGGCAGTTTTATTCTATAGAGCTGAAATGAAACTCTTTTAATATGTACTATTTTGTGTGAAAATTAAATGCTCTAGCAGGGACAAAAAAATGTACACTGTGGAAAGAAAAAAGATAATTAGGAATGAGGCCTCAATATTTAGGAGAGATTACTGTTATAGTTGTTTTCATTTAAAGACTGATACAGTGGTCTTCAACTATAGGGTGTTACAGAAAATGAGAGGAGTTTCTCTCCATTTCAATTCTGGTGAAAAGATCTGAACACTACAGTTACACAGGGAAGGGCAAAAGAGAGTAAACAAGAAATTAGCAACTATAACATTTTACATATTACACCAACGGTGAATATTATGACTCCTGCCATAAAAGGAAAATGTGTTGATGCTTTTGTTGACAGAATGTCAGATATGATTTCAGAAAAAGGCCTCTTTGCATTCAAGCCAGCATTGGCAATACCAGTATGGACCCAGATATTCTGTGCTGCCCAGGGTGCAGCTGGACAAGACAAGGTCACAACATGATAACAAGTGACTATGATAGCCCAGCAGACAGTCACTAATGAAATGACACAAGAAGAAGAATGGTAGGGACTTCTCATAGTTTTTTTAAAAAAATCATGGTAGTGAAGTAGTCTTCTAAATGGAAATCATGGATCATCCTAGCTTACCTGAGCATCACCGTGATGGGTCAAGAACTACCTTAGTTCATTTTTTTGGAAAAAAATGGTTTTTACCTGCCTCCAGAATTTCAGTGTCAGAAGCAAGGTATAAAAAGAGATGAACAATAAATGAAGGTGTTCTGAAAATTAATTTTAATGATTTTTAAATGAGTTTTTAAAAGTATGTCTGTTTATGTCCTGTACATACAGTAAAACCCTTTTATTTACTTACTTCAGGCATTGGTGATGTTCAAGTGAGTAAATGGGGAGAGGATTCCTCAAGGTTTTATGGCAAATTTAGATTTTTTGGATTATAATCACTTCAAATACTCATAAGATGTCAGAGAGATGTAGTAAATATAATGGAAAACTTGATTTTCAGATTAATTTTTCACATTCATATTGAAATCCACTGGGTTACAAAAGGTAGTTGACCTCATGGAAATGAATGAGATCAAACGTAAGGAAAATATAAAGCGAGAATTAGACAGAGAGCAGAATCCCAAAGAAGACCTACTTAAAACACATCTGCCAAGATTTAAAGTTGATTATTAGCAAAGTTGGGAAGAAAACCCAGTTTCTAGTATCTAATCTAGAAATTCTTCTATTACATCCTGAATCTCTCTTCAGTTATCTGCTGGCGATCATGACACATGCTTACAAACACTGACTGCTTCACACCAACATGTATCTCCTCACCAACCCTCAAGATTTAACAAATCCAAACATTCTGCAATATTCGGTTAAAGTTTTTTATGAAAGAAATATATGTAACAGTAAAGATGCTAATACATATAAAATTAAAGTTCTCCTTCTCCTCCAGAAGTAAACACTGATCTTACTGTGTTTTCTTATTTTACTATACTTCTGTTTCCTTATTTTACTACAGAAGAATTTATATACAATATCATGCAATCCTCACTCTTCCATCAGAACACAGTCATGCAAAAAATATTCAAAGTAGACTATGAAACCAATTACTTAAAAAAACAATCCTTAAAGAACAACTCATTATTAATTCAGAGTGCAGAATAGTCCAGTTTAAGAAGGCTGGGATTTTGGGTTGCTACTTGACATTAGCTCCCAAACTCCACCTTTAAAGGCACAATAAGATAGCTGAATCTGACTTCTATCTACATTATCATTCCTTTTTTCTAAGACAAATTGTTAAATAATTGTGAATAACAGGTTGCATAAGTTTTGGTTGACTGAGCAAGATGGAGCATAAGATACTCAACTCGATTCAACCACTTTTTTTTTGGTATCGTTAATATAAAATCACATGAGCAACATTATGGTTACAAGATTTCCCCGATTATCAAGTCCCCCCCACATACCCCATTACAGTCACTGTTGATCAGCGTAGTAGATGCTATAGAGTCACTACTTGTCCTCGCTGTGCTATAGTACCTTCATCGTGTGCACCCCTACATTATGTGTGCTAATCATAATGCCCCTTATTTCCCTTCTCCCCTGCCTTCCCACCCACCCTCCCCAGTCCCTTTCCCTTTGGCAATTGTTAGTCCATTCTTGGGTTCTGTGAGTCTGCTGCTGTTTTGTTCCTTCAGTTTTTCTTTGTTCTTATTCTTCACAGATGAGTGAAATCATTGGTACTTGTCTTTCTCCACCTGGATTATTTCACTGAACATAATACCCTCTAGCTCCATCCATGTTGTTGCAAATGGTAGGATTTGTTTTCTTCTTATGGCTGAATAATATTCCATTGTGTATATGTACCACATCTTCTTTATCCATTCATCTGCTGATAGACAGACACTTAGGTTGCTTCCAGTTCTTGGCTATTGTAAATAGTGCTGTGATAAACATAGGGGTACATATGTCTTTTTGCAACTGGGATTCTACATTCTTAGGGTAAATTCCTAGGAGTGTAATTCCTGGGTCAAATGGTATTTCTGTTTTTAGTTTTTTGAGAACCTCCATATTGCTTTCCACAATGGTTACACTAGTTTACATTCCCACCAGCAGTGTAGGAGGATTCCCCTTTCTCTGCATCCTTGCCAGCATTTGTTGTTCCTCGTATTTTCTATGTTGGCCACCCTAATTGGTGTGAGGTAATATTTTATTGTGGTTTTAATTTGCATTTCCCTGATGATTAGTGATGTGGAGCATCTTTTCATGTGTCTGTTGGCCATCTGAATTTCTTCTTTGAAGAACTGTCTGTTCAGATCCTCTTCTCATTTTTTAATAGGGTTATTTGCTTTTTGGGTGCTGAAGTGTATGAGTTCTTTATATATTTTGGATGTTAACCCCTTCTTGGACATGTCATTTACAAATAAAGTCTCTCATACTGTAGAATGCCTTTTTGCTTTGCTGATGGTGTCCTTTGCTGTACAGAAGCTTTTTAGCATGATGTGGTCCCATGTTTTCATTTTTTGCCTGTTTCCCTTGCCCAAGGAGATGCGTTCAGGAAAAAGTTGCTCAAGTTTATATTCAAGAGATTTTTGCCTATGTTTTCTTCTAAGAGTTTTATGGTTTCATGACTTACATTCAGATCTTTGATCCATTTTGAGTTTACTTTTGTCTATGGGGTTAGACAATAATCTAGTTTCACTCTCTTCCATGTAGCTGTCCAGTTTTGCCAACACCAGCTGTTGAAGAGGCTGTCATTTCCCCATTGTATATCCATGGCTCCTTTATCATATATTAATTGATCATATATGCTTGGGTTTATATCTGAGTTCTCTAGTCTGTTCCATTGTTCTATGGGTCTGTTCTTGTGCCAGTACCAAATTGTCTTGATTACTTTGGCTCTGTAGTAGAGTGTGAAGTCAGGGAGCGTAATCCCTCCCCCACTTTATTCTTTCTTCTCAGGATTACTTTGACTATGTGGGGTCTTTTGTGATTCCATATGAATTTTAGAACTATTTGCTCTAGTTCGTTGAAGAATGCTGTTAGTATTTTACTAGGGATTGCATTGAATCTTCCATTCACCCACCTTTTAAACTACGCATAGCTAATATTCCTCAGGAAGTAATCCTAAGTATAGCCTGATCTTGGAGATCATGTTTCAGTCAAGTGCTTAGACCATGACTGTGGGAACGCACACACATACACATGGATAATTGTTATTCTGAAAAATACTTTAGCAAATCAATGCTTTTTTACTATAATGGGTTTCTCTGTATCATCTGTAGGTAGAAATTTTAGTATTTGTAAAATACAGTATGTCTTTTCAACATTAGAAAAGCATTATAAATTTAAAACAGAAAGCCAAACCATTGGAAGAACTGAAATAAGGGTGTTACAGGTGTAATTAGTAAATCATACTGGACTAGGATGAGCCCCGAATCTCTGATTGGTCTCCTGGTAAGAAGAAAAGAAGAGACATAGAGACACATATGTGAAGGGAGCATGCCATGTGCCAATGGAGGCAAAAACTAAAGTGCTGCACCCCTAGGAGGAGGTAAGGAAAGAGTCTCCCCTACCAGTTTCAGAGGGAACATGGCCTTGCCAACACCTTGATTTTAAACTTCTGGCCTCCAAATCTGTGAAACAATAAATTATTGTCGTTTTTAAGCCACTCAGTTCATGGTGCCTTGCAACAGCAGGGTAACTAGTAAAACCTATCACAAACACAATCACAGAAATATATATGATGCTGTTTAATGTGTATAAATTCTCCTTGTGAAGTATTTTTGCAACTAATGTCCAGTTTGGGTCTGGGACATATTATTGCCACATTGTATAAACTGAAAAAAATGAGGATCAAAGAATTTATACAAGAAACTCTCTTCCTATGCTTCTACAACAAAGACTTTTTCTTTTAGAAACTGACGGGATCTTCTTTCCTTAGGTTGCTAGAAAGCCAAATGTGTTGTCTGTACTTGGCTGGTATGTATGTATACAGGACTCCTAAGGCTAAATAGTTTTCACCAATGAAAATAAACCCACAGTAAAGGTAGCAGATCAATTAATTATCAACCAAGCACAAAATTAAAACAAA